TGCGTTTACTTCACTCAAGAGCAGCCGTTTTTCCCCGTCGCCATGGGAACGTTACGAGGTGACGTAATTACGCGACACGAGCGTCGTCGAAAAGCTGCAAACCCCGCGATGAAAGTATATTAGTAGTATGTAGATTTACGTTACAGTAAGAGATTAACAGAAGATGTTTTGTATAGCTACCTCTGTAAAACAGGAAGCACACATTTTATTGTTTTTATATTTTATTTATTCATTTTTACAGAAGTTTCCTTTTGTGAAGCTACAGAACTTGTTTGACTCATCAGTGTTTTGTAAGTTTGAGCCATGTGTTTATTAAGGTCTGAAATAAAACAAGATGAGAACTTAAATATTCCCAGCACTTTCTGTGATGCATCAAACCGCAGTTTTTGCAAGTTTCCCGCAATTTCATCGCATAAAATTGCATAAATATTCCATCGCATTTTTTAAGAAAACGTGCCGCGTAATCAAGGATTTTTGCCCGCAACAATCACAAAAAGTAAGGACTGTAAGTTAGTTGATTTGTTTGGTTTAGAGGATTAAATCTCAGTCTAGTTTTTCTTAAATGTGTGAGCGACGTCGATCTAGAGATGTGAAACTCGTTGTTGAACGGACGTAAACACGGAGACAACAGACAATTCAGTGAGCAGATGACGACAGGGCTCGTCCCGAGCAGTTTTTTCTCCTGTACGGACCGTAAATATCTATCCAACACCTCGCTGCCCCTCCACAGACTCCCGCCGGCGCAGAATCTTGATTTCTAATTTAAAAAAAGGCACAAAAACCAGACAGACGAAAGGTACGAGGCATACAAGATGAGCACAGGAAAGAGAAGTGGATGGACCCTGAACCCTCTGTATGTATGTATTGTACAATCCGACCTGTGTCTGATCCAGAACCAGGATTGGATCGATCTGTGCGGTTCACACTGCCATAAAAAACTGATTTAAGTCACGTATGAGCAAAACAAATCAGATTTAGTGTGAGCGTAGCCGTTGAAAGGAACAGACTTGATCAAAAGTAGGAGTAAAAATAGCGTTATTGATCCCATGGCCTATTTCCAATTGCCACGCAGTATTGGTGACCTTCGCTCCTAAATGTTACCTCCCTGCTACCGACACCACTCGCAGTCTGACAGTTTGCGGTCATTCAATAAGAGATCAATTTGTTCTCTGCCAGTCTGAATCCGAACGCTGGATACATCACCCCACTGTGAAAAGATGGAGTGAGCAGAAAGACGGAGACAACGAGAGCTTAACGTTATTATTTTTCCAGTATTTTGAGCGACACGGTCAGACGGTAACCCTTTTAACTATTAACTAAAGCGCACTTCTTCACGTAATACCACACGATTAAAGACGATGAGCTCTTCTATCTCCGTCCACAGTAGGAATACACTGGGTTTCTGAGGGGATGCCAATGGGAGAATTGATCTGATCGTGACGTATTGATCATTAGACATTTTGTGATAGGAGTGTAAATGTATATCGTGAGACGGTTAAATCGTGACACTAATATGTGAAGATTTAAATCAGTGAGGTGAAAACTGAATTGTGGCGCAAAGACAAAAAAAGGATTGTTTAATCTGATAAAGAAAATGTGAGAAAATGAATCTTTTTTCAGTCATTTTGTTGAATAAATAATGATAAAATCGGATCGTACATGTAGTATTGAGTCGAGTTCATCACTACATCCCGACTATGTAATGGAAACACTGTTTTTAGATTACCTCAAACACATTTTGGCATTTGTGTACTTCTTCTTGTGACTTATGGACGGACATTTACACTGGTACCAGTATGTCTGCAACAATACTGGCAGATTTATTGGTTCTTTTCACAAGATCACTGAATTTCTAGTCAAAAAAGTCATGTTACAAAGGCTGCGTCGTAAAAATTTAAATGTTTATCCATTACTTTCTTACTTATATACATTATTTATCATATTGACCTTACATGTTTTACATCCTACTTATTCATTCATACTTATACATATTGTAAATGCACATTTTATCCCTATTTACGTATCCTTTATTACATAATATTAAATATATATACTATATGTGTTTTATTATACTATACATGTTAGGATTATATTATACCTGTACTGTGCAATTATCTGGCTCTATATAGCCTATATATCCTTTAAATTACATCTTTTAAGATCATATTTTACACATTTTTTTATTATTATAATGCTGTGTGTATTCAATAATCTTTGCAATTATCTCTGTGCAATGTGCCATCAATCATATATGTACATAAAAAGGTGTATATAGTGTACATAACATCATTTTCTTTCCCAACATATCCTTTTAAATGTTATTTGTATTCATCGTGTTGCATCTTGAGTTGCTGCAACAAGCCAATACAACTTTGGGATCAATAAAATCTGCGTTGTCCTGTTTTACAAAGCAAATCAACATTACCAGGTAATCTATAAGTAATTAATCGAAAGAGGCCTCTGCACAAAATGTCATAACGTGCTGTATACACAAGGCAAAGGTTACTGTAGCACCATTACACCCAGAAACACTGGAGCTGAAGTGGCCGCAATGCACATTATCTGACATTTAAAATGCCTCTCCCCCATGCTCTCCTTTGAATCATCCACAATGCCACACTGCATTATGTCTCCACCTTACATACTGCATGCAACACGTCCTGTCCGTGCCTGTGACTCCTCGATGGAGGCTGTGTGGGGGAAAATGCCATTAAACCGCAATTTTTATTTACCTCCCGTTACTTTGGGGGTTTGCGTTATCCATGTATGACTCGGGGAGAGAGGAGGGTGCAGGGGGGGCAATTTACCAGTCCAGTAAACTTGCAAGCAGGTGACAGCAGGGGGGTAAAAAACGAATAATTATGGAGGTGGGAGGTAAATCACACGGACGTACCTGCCGTTGCCATGTCACCGCCAGCCCAAGACAACGGCTCGGTTCGCGGTTGCCATGCAAACGAGTGACAGCCGAAAGCGGCCGTTATGTGACGTGGTGATGAGGGTTTCACTTTACGTTGCTAGCTTGGACCGTTAGCCACTACCCAGTCGGACGACACCGCGAAACACACACACACACACAC